CGATCCATTGTCGATGTTAGGGAACAGTGGCTACGTGAGACACCCGCACATTCATTACCACGCCAGCAGAAACAGTAGCATTAAACTTGCACCGAGGAAGACCCTTAATAAAACGAACACCGCAGAGGATGCGTGATGTCCACTCATAGAACATCTTCCCACAACGCGGTCTGCTCCATCGGAGTTTGTGATTTTAATGTCTGATGAAGTGTTGGGTGGATCTGCTGCGAAACTTCCATTACCGAGCGCTGTCGCTAAAAATATAGACTTTATATCCCTAATGTTTTTAAGTATACCAAACTGGACTTTAATCCAGAGAAAATTCAAGCGCCCACTGCCATTTTCACCCGACAAATAACATCAGCAGCAACGGACCTAAAGTTAAAACGTCAAAAAACAACTAAATTATAAAAGTATTCCACTTAAACGGCCAGCACAACCTACCCACTCGTGCTAGTATGGGGTAAGACAAACAACTATCGTTCAGGCAACGATGTACAGAATATATACCTCCTCTTCACGACGGCACATTCTCTCGAATGACTGGAACTCCAGGATATTTCCATGAATTTTCTCGTTCACTTGCGTCAATTCATCTAGCGTTGCCTCTTTTTCCTTAGTGCTTCCTAAGGGTGGATTCATACTTTCGCTGAGAGGTCCGACGTAGGCTTTCAGTCTTCCTTGGAGGCCCCCAAGGCGTTCAGCAGTGGCCTACAAAGCATTACACGAATTCTTCAGGAAAACTTACTGACATATGCAAAAGATATGGGGCAAATGGTGATTTTTGCATGCTGGCATGCGCCGTTGGCACAAAGCCAGATGCGTTTGCGTAGTTATTGCTCTGTGACAACTAATTTAAGATTAAATAGATCGGTCCATTTGATTTTCTCTGAAACAGGTAAAATTTCAGCAGAAACTGCTAGTGCTACTGGTCATGCTAATGAAGAATCCCCGACGGACTTCGAAACGTCAGATGAATAAAAGCCATGTCTCAGCGATTGCATCTTCTTTTTCTCAGGTAAAACTGCACCATCTGACCGATTGCTTGAAGAGAGTAAAAATGGCCGTTCGATGGGGCAACTCGTGATTTTTGCATGCTGGCTTGCTCCGGTGGCATAAAGCCAGATGGGTTTATGTAGTTATTGCTCCGTGACAACTAATTTAAGATTAAATTGATCGCTCCATTTGATTGGGTGTCAAACAGGTAAATTTTCAGCAGAAACTGCTACTGTTTATGCTAATTTCTCAGAGGAAGAATCCGCGCAAGGACTTCTAAACGCCAGGCGAATGAAGGCCTTGTTCCAGCGATCGCATCTTCTTCTCCTCGGGAAAACCTTCACCGTCTGGCTGATAACTTGAAGACAGTAGAGATGGTCGTTTGATTTGTTTAATTCCTACTATGCAACAGATTGTGGGAGTAGTTTAAAACTGCATCGGTTTTACTCAACCCAAACTGACATCTGAGGAATATCGACCAAAACTT